TCAATATCGCTTTGTTTGTCAGCTTTCTCAGGGCTATTTAATTACTAGCTACTACTGTCAGTTAGTTCACATAACATATCCATCTGCAATCTATATCCATGTCCCATATCCATGGCAACAAGCTGCCAGTCTTTGGAACTGATGGACAGAGAGACACACAGCATCTAACAATTCAAAATCAATGTAAAGTGCATGGCATGCCGCAACAGAATCGGCAGAGGACCACTAAAGTATCGATGTCAAGTCAAATCGTAACAAATGTCACACACACAAAGGCACACACACACGCTGACACACACAAATACACATACACTCACATATATATGTATGTAGTTCTCAGGTTCATGCGTCAACGTCAGCCTCAGTCGTGTTCGTTGCATTGTAATCTGAGAAGTGTATGAAGTAGTCACAAATGGTTGCTTCCCACAACGTATACGTAATATGTGCATTTGTGTGTGTGTGTGTGTGTGAGTGGCATGCAAAACTGTAGAGTAAAGCAAAAGTGCAAATAGGCATGGCTTAATGGGGTGAGGTGCGAAAGGGGTAAGCGGGAGGGATTGGTAGCCCTTTACAAACACTTAAGAAATTATAAACATTCATTATTCAAGTCTGCTAATATAACCAGCATTACAAGCGCGCGCTCTCTCTCTCTTACACACACATATATATATGTATGCTATCTTCATCTCTGTCTCACCTGACCTGCTCTTGGCAGGTGGCAAAGGAAGTGCAACGTGCGCCAGAAACTAGCGATACATAATGCTATTAATGTGGCTTTGTTTCAGCTTAATGAGCTGAGCTATGGATAGATTAAATGTGTGTGTGTGTGTGTGTGTGTGTACGACATGTGCATGTTTTGGTTTGTATTTGTGTGTGTATGTGTGTTACTCTGGCTTTGTGCCATCCACAAAATTCAACAAGAACCTAAAACTTTGCCTCGTTGCTCTTCTTAAGCAGCATTTGGCTTCAAATGCATTTTTCCAAGCGCATAAATCACTCAATTGGAAAATACACACACACACACACACACACACACATTTGTGTTGTGTATCTGTGTGTTTGTGTTGCGACTTGTTGCAGTTGTTGCTTCACTGCCTACCCCACAACCAAAGCATAATTCATATGCTGCTCAAGCCAGGCCATAAATTTGTGGCTGACTCGCTGTCTTTCTGTCTTTCCTTCTTGCCACCAAATCGCTGCCTCTTCCTTCCTTTCCTTCCTTCCCCCTCTTTCTTACTCCTCCTTATACACACACACTCACACACATACTCGAGCACATTAATTAGGCGCGCAACAGCGGAACAGCATACAACCCAAAAGATATAGAGCTGCAGATACATAGCTACAGTATTTGTTCTACTGTATAGCAAGTATAGCAAAAATAATTAAAGCGTGGAAAAAACGTGGCTTACTTCTAAAGATAAGCAAAAGGAAGCAACTACAAGGAAACAAATTTTTATAAACCTTATATATAGCAACTAATTGATTACTTCTAAATGTGAAAAGGAATTGAGAACTACTTTTATTACAATTTTCTATTACTGTGGAAAAGCTGAAATAACTTCGCAATTTTTTCATAGCCTGTTCTACGAAAAGTGTGATTGGAAGTTAAAAATAACAGCAGTCGCATTGGAGTTCAATAAGAAGGTTTGTTATTTTTAGCAAATATTTGGTATTAAAATAAAACCATATATTTGCATTGAATAGAGTTGACTCTTTAAAGCTTGCGAAACATTTTTCAAAGACACCAAATAGTTATTCTTTCATTTCACATTTTGAATAACGTCAGTTAAATTTTTTTTACTTATCTTGTAATTACTTTATAAATGTATTATTTTCTCATCAATTGATTAATTTTTTTAATGCAGTTCAATGATAAAATATAAATACTTTTTTTATAATGTATTCAGTTTATATAATCGTATATTTATGTTTTTTATTTTTCAATTGTACTATCCATTATAAGTTGTTCTATTAATTGATTAAATTTTTCTGTATTTTAATATTTTTTTACATTTAAAATTTTATATTATTCTTTTTTTTTTCATTTATTATTATTTTTGAATAAATTGTTTATTTTTCTTTTCATATTTTATTTATTTATTATATTAAACTTCTATTTATTTTTTTGTATTTTTTTAATGTACTCTTTAAATTGTTAATGTTTGTTTTTAATTTTTAATTTTATTTTTATTTTTAATATACATATTTTTCTAAATCTATGTCTTTCATTTTTTAGATAATAATTTTTTATAACTTATATTTTATTTACTTTTCCCTGTTTCTATTAAATTACCTACAATTTATTTTTTTATTGGAATTTATTATTGTTTTCATTTCTATTTAAAATTAATTTTTTCCATTGTTTGTATCTTTTATTTTATGAAATTTAAGGTTTTAATTCCCACAAAAAACTCAGCTCATTTTGGTTAATTTGGAATGGAATTTAAACATATTAATTAAATAAAAAATAGTTGACTTAGGGATATATAATTTTCAATTTTGTTAATTGTAATCAAAACTTTTAACAATTTTAAGTGTGTATTACGATTTTTATTTGCAGTTAGTAACTTCCCTTCAACGACCACAACTTACTGTAGTTAATCACACACACACATACACACACACTCGTATGGGTAGACTAGTTAGGTCATCTTTATGACTACAAATAGCAATCCTTCTCTAATAAGAGTGCCGGCTGCGCAATCCACAGAGTCCCGAACCGCCGCCAAACAAAAATGACTAATGTGAGCTCATTAGTCTTGTGGAAGCGGCCGGCTGGTCAGGTTGGCCACGTTGGCCACGTTGGCCAGGTTGGCGATGTTGGCAATCAGAAGGTAAGCAGCAATGCAGGCAACAGGCTATTTAAAAGTAGGGACGGACCGAGGGCTGAACGCGAAAGAGATCACAACACAAGAGGTATGTTCAGTTCAGGACTGGATCACAAATCGACGCAGTTGTGATGGAGGTGGAGGAGGTGGAGGAGGTGGAGGAGGAGGAGGAGGAGGAGGATGGTGGGCGAGTCGATGCGGCCAAGCGAGTGAGCTAAGCTTAGCGAGCTATGCAAAGCAACTGAAATTATAGGAGCATGAGAGAGCTAAAGGGATTTGCAAAAACACACACACACACACAGACTCAGAAGCACAAAATATAATCAATCAAATTGTCAATCAATCAATGAGCACACGAGCACTAGACAAGTCGAAACGAAAAAAACAAACATCGGAAAAAATAAATAAAACACAATCAATGTGAAAATGTTTGAAAACAAAATTGAAATGGACAACAAAATTGTGGCAGCCGCAGCATTAACAACAACAAATAATAGTAGTAATAGAAAATAAAAGGAGTTGCATAGAAAATAAAACGCTTATATAAGTAACAGCAACAACAATGAACGGAAATAATTACAGTTAGCATGGGGTGTGTTTTTTTCTTTCTTGGTCATTGAGTATGGGGGAGGGAGTGGGTTTCCAGCAATTTGTCACAAAACAAATATCATTCGGGGGGTATATTTGTTGAAATAGAATTTTGTTTGCAGTTACGTTTAAATGGAAAGTGAGATTAGTTGTTGGGGTCAGACATAAAACGGTTTAGAGCCAAATTGTTGGTGCAAATAATACGCTGAGCTCATTGGAACCATAGAACAATCATCATAGTTGATGAAAATTGAATAAAAGTGATGAGTAAATGAGAACAGAATTTGATGAACTACTTTTATTTGGGGAATAATCGAAGATAAATTTCTGTAGTGATGGAAAGTTGGAGCAGTATTAAAAGGCATATATTTTTCTTGAATAGCAAAATAAAATAAAAAAGTACTGTAAATATACTTTACTTTCAAGACATTATTGAGCAGAAAGAGAGCTTTATCGAATCTACTAAGCCCATGAAACAATCTCTCGTATCTTTCAGTAGCAATTAGTTAGATCACCCTATAAGTTTTAAGTTAAGAAAAAGACTTCGATTGCCAATAAGTTTTCTCTTTTATGATGTTTTATAATGTTATGTTTTAAAGATACCTCTGCTGATATTTCAATGATGTATTAAAATATTATACCAGCTCTGATGTAGGAAATCGTTTTCATAAAAATATATAACTTTTTATTCCAATTATTTTGCATATGAGAACATTTCCTATCTAAAACTCTTTTGAGGCGATTTTGAGTCACATCTCAGGTAATGTTTTGTCATTCAATCTATAGCGCTTCATTAAGCTCATTTTTATTGAAAATTTTAAATTTACGCCCAAACAAACCATGATATTTTCGACATTTGAATATGAATTTAGAAATTTTTGTGATTTTGGCTGTACTGTTCTAAGAAATATCTTTCTACTGCACTTCTTTCTTCAATATTCTTTATTCCTGACTGCAAATAGGAACCGTAAGCCACATAACAGTTTAAATTAAATTGAAAAATTAAAGTTTTTGGAGGCTCGAATATTTCAAAAATATTTCTCAATGTCACAGATAGCTCAAAAGAGGAATGAATTCGGCAAATAGATGACTGTTTCAATGATTTCTATTGTAATTCTAATCTTTAGAGACTCGAATACAACAATATTGTTTTGAAAAACCCTAAAAAAAAAAGCTGCGCGCCTTTAAACTTTTTTTTTTAAAAAAAAAAAAAAAAAGCCCCAAATAAATATATAAGAACAGTAGTTCATATAACAGCAGTTTCTCAGAAAAACTTGAGGTGTCAAAATTTTGAAATCCGAGTGATGAGCACAAACACAGTAAGCCTGAGTGTTCAGTGAAATTTCTGCGAATGCCATCAAATATTTTTATGTATCACCATAATCTAGCATTTAAAAAACTTCCGGTCCTTCAGAGTTCACAAAGAAGAAAGGGTTTGGGTTCGGTTCGGTCAGTCGTTATCAGCCAAAAAGCTGACTCAAACCAAAACCACAGGCATATGCATATTTCTAGGGGGGCTTTGTTCACTGATTAGTCATATCAGAATATATGTTCTGTGGACTAGTATTTGATGGCACTTACAATATGCTCCTTCAGCTCTTTGGTCCGGATTGGTCCCAGCCATTGATGTAATCCAATGTAACGTTTTTGTACCATTTTTAGGGCGGGGGCGCCTTGTGCATATGGTCCGCCCAATAGGGCGCTGGCAGTTTCAAGAACCACCATTTTGTCGTTATCGCTTATTTTGCTGGCGGCTGTATTTCTTTTAGAAATGTTCTATATCTGGGCTTGCCAGCAGCAGTTTCTCGGCTGAGCTGGCCTGGGCAGCGATAAAAACGGCAGCAACAGCAGCAGCAGCAGCGACAACTGTTTAGTTATATACTCGTATATGAGCGATATCGGACTTGGTTTTATTTTCACTTAAATGTGGTTTTTTACACAAAACATTTGTGAGGGCACTTGGTTTCTTTCTTTCTTATTTTCAAACTACTTCTTTATAGCAAAAACTTCTTTGTTGACTCACATACGCAATTATTTATGCGCACAAGAATTGTTTTCAATCAAAATTTTTGAACCCACTACTCCGTACCGGCTGGTGTTGTTGTTGTTGGCGGTGCAGAATTTGCACAATGTGTGTTAATCCATGAGCGGTTCAGATATTATCCGCCCGCCTTTAATCCACATAGATGGATGATGATGTGCCGAAGAAATGCGTTAAGTGCAATTTTTTATTTTTATTTTTTTTATTTTTCAATTTTTATTGCAGTTTACACAAACACACACACATATGTATGAGAGAAAGCAATCCGCGGAATCAATTAAAAGACACGCACGACAAATTCAAGTATCGCTGATATATCTGTTGTTGTTGATGTTGTGTTGTTGTTGTTATTGGTTGGATATTATTGTGGAATAAAAACACAACTCAATCAACTCTCTACTGACACTTTCTTCTTCTACAAATAGGCACTAAATGAGATTTTCAAATCAAAATTTTTGCAAAATTTTGAACTTGATTGTACTAAGAACTTGCTTTCTATTGCACTTCGGGCTTAAATATTTATGTATTTTTTTTTTTCTTTTTTGGTATAAATAACAATTGCAAATAGCCGAAAAAAGTAATAGCGACAATGAACGATATGGGATTTATTTATTTATCTTTCAGTTTGGCTTCAAGAATTGCACGCAAAACAGAACACGACGACAACAGTACGATGACGACAACGCGAACGCAAATGATGAACGAACTACAGTGTTCAAAGTTCCATCGCGAACTGATTTCAAAAATCAACGAGCTCCCCCATCAGAAACGAGAACGAACCAAACGTACGACGAACATAGGCGAGCCAAGCACGACGAGTTGTAAACGAACCAGCAACGAAAACGAGCATGCGACGCCACGTAGAAGAGAATCTTCAATTCAATTTGGAGAGTGTGGAGAGTGCAAAAAAACACTTGTTGTTGATGTGAGACTGTGGCGGGCAGCAACACATGTTGGCCATCTAATTTTATAAGAGAGAAAAGGCAAGAGAGAGGGAGTGCAAGAGCGAAGGCACACCCCAACAACATAAACTGAAATGTGGCCCAGAGAGCGTGCGGCGGCGTTAACTGTTGCACGCTATAATGTTGTGTAGACTTCGCTGGTTATGTTAATTCTCTTATACAAGCGATACGGTGGTGCTAATGCATTACCAACAGCTTGTAAAGACATAAAACATTATGTTAAGTCGCTGCTGCTTTTTGTGTCAAGTGCTTAACAGTGAGTGCTCTCATACTCACACCCACTTCTACATAATTCGAAGAATCGCACTGTTAATGCAGTTACATACATATGTTAAAGGAAAACACACTTTGGCGCAATTCTTTAAGACTTAAGTCACTTAAAAAATGGTAAAATATAAAGCCTAAATTGTAGGAATTTCGAAACATTCAAGATTTTAATGATAGTTATTTAAATGAATATAAATAAATTATTTTGGTAATTGTAAACTAAGTACCGAAATAATTATTATTATATTAATTGTAAGCAAAATAATTTAAAATACATTTCATTTATTCAGTTTATTTTATTTGTCGTTGGTCAATTAATTTAATAAGCTCTTTATTTTGTAGCTTATTAATTTATTTATTTATTATTTATTCACTTATTAATTAATTACAAGAGAAAAACTTTTTATATTTTAAACATTTTTTGTTTAATTACGGAAGGAATATAATATTTGTTTTACGAAATGAAAATTAAAAATATTATTGATTTTTTGAGATAAACTTTTTGAATTTTAAACATATTTTTATAAATTACTGAAAGAATATAGTATTTCTTTTACGAAATAAAAATTCAAAATTTTATATTATTTAGAATTTCCCGCCAGTTAGGTGTTCTGTCACATTTTGAGAAAGAGTTTAAAATTGTATTTCTTTAGGAACTCCTTCGAGAAATGCTTTATTAGATTAGTCTGGGAACCTTCTCGGAAGTTCGCTAAACCGTCATTCGAGACAACTTTTTGCGGCAAGAAGTAGCTAATTGGAAGGAACTTGAAGAGGATCTTGAGCTGCTCGCTATAGTATTGGTTTTCTTCCAGAACTTCCTTTAATTCTATTTTATTTTATGGTTTCTAATGTGGAATACCAAAACTGAATAAAGCTGATCAGTATGATGCGGTCAATAAACGATACATTTCCAAGCTTATCTCAAATTAGGAACATAGGAACTGTTTTATTTATTTATTTTCAAAATCTTTCTGTTTTTCAAAATAAACTAAAAGTAATATAATTAAATGTAGCTCTTATAAGACTCAAAAAAATTGGCCTTTTCAAAGAAAAGCTAAATTTAATATTTGTTTATATACTTAACTATTTATAGTTTTCAGAAATGCTTTTCCCAAGCCCTACCTTCCAAATACAAAATAAAAATTTACTTTTCTGGCTACTTTTTTTGTCTTTTCTTTCTTCAACCAAAAGCGAAGAAAGGGCTTAGTTCCACTTTCGGTTCTCAGTCCGTTTACATGACGTATGCATTAAGTTGTTGTTACATAAGCTGCCCAAAAAGAAAGAGTGCATACGCTTAGCAAAAAGCCATAAAGCGTACATTCACGTATGTATACTGGGTAGTAGACGAAGCCGCTCCATTAATAATACCAAATTGGATGTCGACAAGTTGCGTTGTAACCAATTTAATGGGCATAGCCAAAGATTAAGCAACCATGCCGGGTTTGTTGACTTCTTCAACAAAGTGTGACTAAACAAATTAAGCTGAGAACTCTACGCACTCGAAGAGCAGCGCGAAGGGCAGGCAACCTTAGCGAGAGAGTGAGAGAGGAGAGAAAAGAAAAGAAGCTTTGAGCTAGCGATGGGTTTACGGCCACGAATCGCACTTTTCAAATCACGTACGCAATAAAAGCAACCAATTTTTATTTACAATTTTCAAATGACACAATTGTGCATGCAAATTGTTTGCTTTTGTGACCTTAGCTACAATTTTTCCCTTTTTCGATAAATTTGCAACATCGAACGAAGGTATGTATGGCTATAGTCTGTTATAACAGACCGATCGTACATATTCTTTAAAATATTATTTTAAAAAATAAATAAAGCCACAATAGTAAAATATAAATAATAATATATAATATAATATAAATAATAATATATAATATAACAGAAATAATAGCATACACATACATATCTTGGCGGAATGTTTGAAAACCAATAACAAGTGAGGTTATATACGACACATGTGAAGGTTATGGAAAGTGCAACAACTGAATAACATACGCTTATTGCGGCCAAAAGCTTGTGAAAGCTAATGGAATATGGAAGCCATGCGATTCGAAAACAGTGAAATTAGCGCTACGGCTTAAAACCGAACGATTTCAAAGAAAATACAACCATGCACTTAGTGCATATCCCGAGTTCCGAGTACCCTGTCTCGAAGGCTAAAAAGTTTATATATTCTTAATCAGCATATCGAGACGAATCGATATAGCAATGCTCCCTCTCCCTCCCATTAATAATGTTCACATTACATTCCAATTATTAGCGAAATAATTTCCTTCCAGTACTACGCCCACAAAACTGAAGCTTGCTCTTCTTCACCTTTTTATACCCTGTACCCGTAGGGTAAAAAGAAGGAAGCATCTCCGACCCCATAAAGTATATATATTCTGTATCAGCATGACGATAGAAATCGATCTAGACATGTCCGTCCGTCCGTCTGTCCGTCTGGATGAACGCAAGGATATCAGAAACTGTAAAAGCTAGAATAACCAAAGTTGGGATCCAGATTCTCCTAGGTCCGAGAAAGGACGAGTTTATTTTCGGGCTTGCTCGACTGTAGCGTTCTCTCTTGTTGCTTCTGCTATTGATGCATTTAACTTGGGCTTGCTTGAGTGTAACATTCTCTATTGTTTATTTGATATTTGTTAACGTTTCTACAATCCTTATTAACGAATACAATAAAAGATCTTTTAGGTGCTTCTTATTAGCGTTAAATTAATGTTTTCTCGTACGTGTTTCTTTTTTTTTTGTGCTCCCTTCAATTACGCACACAACACACGAATAAAGGCAGATCGTCCCCATGCCCATCTCTACTTCCAACTGTTTAACGTCAAAATATACGAGTCGAGCAAATTACAAATTAAGTAAATCAGCAACAACAAAAGCTACAACATGTTGTAAGCGCAGCTAATCGCTAGCCAGCCAGCCAATAGGCTCGAGAGTGTGAAAAAAGAGAGGGAGGTGCGAGAGAGAAATGATAAGCGGCCGATTTCATGCACGAACATTGAAAGCGCGACCAAACCAATCATCGTGTTTTAAACTGGAAAATTATCTATGTGTGTGTGTGTGTTTGTTGTAAAACATAATGGAAAATCGCCAGCATCATCATCATTATCGTCATTATTATCAGCATAACAATGATGCAGAAAGATGGTCCGAGTCCAAGTCAAGTCAAGCAACCAACTAACTTATACGACTAGCGACGAGTTCGTTCACTCACTACTTCTAACGGTAAATAGCAAAAACATGCCACGAAGCATCCAACTGAACGCAAAGAACGCTCAACAAGTTTCTTCTACAAGCAGGCAGGGGTGGATGGGGCGGTAGAGGGAGATAGTAGTAGGACGGTTGGAAGCCACTAAGCAACAGTGTAGAATGCAAAGAAATGTGGCAGAAAGATGAGAGGAAGGAAGCGCAAGCCGACAACAAAAACAATGCACCAACATTTAGAGATGGTAGAAGCAAAGCAAATGAAGTCGTGTTTAAGGCGAGTAATTTATGGAAATTATATACATTATTGAACTTGAAATGAAAACCAGAAATGGGGAAAATTCAAATTTGGAAGCGATCTCTGAAAGAATGGAACTTAAAAACTTATCAGCGCTCAGCTTATTTATATGTGGTATCTTTCTATGTTTCATTTCTACCATCTCCTTAATTTTCATTTTTATTTTCAATTGTCTCGATTGTTAAAGAAACATATCAAGCTATTAATAAAACTAACTAAATGATCGCGTAAGAACTGTGTGATTAAAAAACTGTAAAGTATTGTAAAATGTGCTCTCTATGTTCCACCCCTGATAATAACTCCAAAGTGGTCGCCGTTGCTGTTGTTGTTGCTGTTGCTGTTGTTACTACTACTCTTGTGCAGTAATTAAACGCTGGTTTCTGTTGTTGTTGTTATTGCCAGTATTGCTCACGTGTTCCGTTTTTAGTACACAAGTTCAATGCACGCCGCTCAAAACATATGCATGAGAAATTAGCACAAAGCAGCTCATAACAAGCAGCCGGCGCTGCCGCTTTATGCAAACCAACAACACCAAAAGAGCAACAGCAAGCGAAAGAGAGAGAGGCAGAGAG